TTGGGGTTAAAATTTAGAACAAATTTATGTTTAAATTTTTTTTAAAACGAATCCTTTGTAGAAACAGAGTTACTACAGTTATAATCTTTGAATTATTAATTTTAGCATGTCAAACAATATTGATATATTTTTTTTATAATATATATTTTTCAATATTAAACAAACTTATGAAATTTGATAATCAAAAGATAGATGATGAGGAGACGACAAGATAAACAGTAGATATAGATTAAATAAATTTATTTGTACATCAAATATTGGTTTCGGTAAAATATGCATATTACCACAACCAATAGACGGATATAAGAAATTGACAAGTGGAACAAATAAAGTAAATAGCAACTATGAGATGACTAAATAAATAAGAGAGTTATCATTAGATAAGATTGAATTTTTTACCTTTGTGGGTGAGAAATCAGGATCTACACTAAAGATTGAAAAAATTATTGATGAAGACAAACATGATGTAATTTGATGGATTAAATAATTTAAAACTATAGTCAAGAGATGTAGATTTATTGACAGTGAAGCAATTGAACACCTATGTTTGTTAGTAGATAATAAATTTTTACCTTTGATATAAGGTAGACGCAAAATTGATAAATGTCTTTATACCTTGAGAAATAAAAGTTATAATGAGGAAAGATTCCAAAGAATACATGATGATTTAATACAATTAAAAGTTCATAAAGGAAGAAATATTCACGAATATTATGAAGAATTTATAATATTATTCAATTGAGTGATATTTGTGTTCCACTTGAAAAGAGATTTAATGACAGAGAAATCAGAGAAATGTTCCATGCATGCATAAATGGACGCAGATAAAATTTATAAAACTAGGAACGATGAAATTTGAAGAAAAGGTAATTATTTTATTAACTTGAAATGATTCAGTTTACAAATTATGTTAAAAAGATAAAGAAAGATAGTGCGACTTTCATAAGAAAGGTTTTCATAGAATAGAGGAATGTGAAGTATTGAAAGCTGAAAAGAAAAAAAATGAAAGAAGAAAATAAATTTAACGTGATAAAAAAGGAAAGTACAGATGTAGGAGAAATTAATTTAGCATGTAAGATTAATGTTGATTGAGGAGAATTGGGTTAGCTTGATACAGGAGTAAGGACTATATATATTTCAGAAATATACGTAAAAACACATCAATTGAAAACTAGAGAATGTAAAAGAATTGTAGAAGTGGTAAACGGAAATAAAATAAAAATAGAAAAAGAATGTGATATAGAAGTTATATTCAATTTTAAACCAAATACAACATATAGAATTGTAGCAGCAGTATTACCAGGATTTACTCACACCTTAGTATTAGGTATGAGTTTTATAAAAAATAATGGTGTAATAATAGATTTCAAAATGGAATATTGAGAATAAATGAATCATATGTAGAAATATTAGGATAGAAATTCAAAGATATGAATCACATAGATTAGGGGATAAATGATAAACTTTGTATAATAAAGAAAAATGATAAATTATAAAAAGTAGTGACAGTGGAGATACTAAGAAATTCTAATTTTAGATATTTGAAAAGATATAGGGTACCGTTTCTATTGGCGCCTCATGATTGATTAAGCGCCTAAAAAATATTTTTTTCAGTAAAATTTTTATAAGATTAAAAATATTTATTAATTATCTCTACTAATAATTTCTAAAAATTTTTCAAATGTCTTATCTCTATATAAGTAACAAAAGCAGAAAAAACTCAAACGGCTTAGCAGCAACGATAAGATAGTTCCAATCTTATTCTTTATTAGTTTCAATTTAATATGACCCAAATACACTTAATTAATTGAGTATTAGAATGAGTCTTAAAGTCAACAAAATTTTCAGAGTGATTTACGATCTTATGATTATGAAATACGGCATTTAATCCTGAATATTCCCACCACTTATCACAATGAATAATATTTTTTAAATCAATATGCTCAACTAGGAGAGGATGTAGAGTATTACGATCTCTTCTTTCTACAACAAACATTAAATCCTTTCTAGACCCTTCTTCAGTCATACCGAAAACCTATAGTCCATTTATTCGTTCTCCATAATTTATTTTACGGTTAGCGTCACTATTATTCTTTATAAAGTCATCCTGAAAAGTCTTCCACGGTTGTACTTTCGATGACTCTAAACAAAGATTCATCAATTTCATAACCTTGCCTTCACTTCAGTTTTTCACTCATAATATGATCATGAGTATCCAACTTTATGTAGTTTGTCCAATTAGTAACAGTTTTACTATCTTTAATTTGAGTAGCAGACTGTCATGCCCTTCGGCTAGACTGTATTTAATGTGGCGCTTTGTATTATTTAAAATAAAATTTTCTTTGTGAACCATGAAATTTATTTATTTAATTTTCCTTTTATAGTTTCAAAAGGAGTGTTTCAAATTATTTTTAATGAATTATATTACTAAAATGTAACATCATTTTTATTGGTTGTACTGGGTACAACACAGACATAATATACAGTGGTGGAAAATAAAAATGAGACTAACTTTAAGTTTTCTTTTTAAGTTATTCTTATTAGTTTTCATTTTAAACTGTCTTCTATTTATGTTGAAATATCTATTTAAAAAAGAATTTATATATAATAACGCCTTTAAACAATATATGTTGTAAAAAAATTTAAGTGGAAAAAATAAATGAGTGTTCTTTGAAAAATTTTCATTTTCCCTCTTAAAATAATTTGAAATAATTTTTTTATTATCTCTTTAATGGCAAAACATATTATTAGAATGACAAAATAAAAATAGTTACATTGAAAGAAGCAGGAGTAAAGAATTTGGAAATTATGAATAAATTTAAAATAAGTAAAGCAACCTTTTTTAGAATAATTCAAAGGTACAGATTAATGAATAATATTAATAGAAAGAAAATCTGGTCGTCTAAAGATCTTTAATGATTCAGAAATTGATATTGTAAAAAGCAAAGTAAATAAATTAAAAATAGGTTTAAGAAAATTAGCTAAAGAGTTTAATGTAGTATTAGATAAAACAGTTACACCAAGAACATACAGAAATGTTTTGAATGATAATGATTTAGCTGTTTATAGACCATTAAAAACATCTTTTGAGTATAAAAAACATTTCTTTAAGATTAATGTTTGAAAGGAACATCTATGAGATACTATTGATTACTAGAAGAGAATTTTGTGTTTAGATGAAACCAAAATTAACTTATTTGGTTCAGATAGAATGGTTTATATCAGAAGACCAAGAGGTATGATGAAAAATTTCTAAATCCTACTATTAAATATGGAGGAGGGAATTTAATGTCATGGGGTTGCTTCTCATAAAACGGTGTTGGGAAAATAGAAGTTGTTAAAGGTAATATGACAGTTATGTCATATACTCAAATTTTAAACAAAAATTTACTTTCATCTGTTAAAAATTGAACATAGATGATGATTTTATCTTTCAATAAGATAATGACCCAAAGCATAAAGCTTCTTTAACTAATGATTTCTTTTAAAAAAAAGAAATAGAATCTCTACAACGGCCCGGTCAAAGTCCGGATATAAATCCAATAGAAAATTTGTGACATTTTCAAAGATTAAGGTCAATGAAAGAAGACTAAAGAATATGAAAGATTTAGAAAAAATTGTTAAAGAAGAATGGTATAAAATACCAAAAGAACTCTCTGAAAGACTTTTTTGTTTATTTTCAAAAAGAGTTAAAGAATTTATTAATCTAAAGGAAGAAATAATATATATTAAAATAAACTGTTTCATTTATTTTTTCCGCTTTTAAATTTTTTTCACAACATGTATTTTTTAAATCATAATTTTGTATAAAATCTTTAAAATTTAATGCTATATTATAAATAAAAGATTATTTAATATGAAATCCTATAAAAATACTTTTTAAACACAACTTTAAATTAGTCTCATTTTTATTTTCTACAACTGTATTTTACTATCCTTTCCTTAAAATAAAGATATATCAGTGTCACATCACATTGTGACAATACTAAAATGTAAAAGAAATATATGTTTAAAAGAATTTATTTATTAATATTAATTGTTTGTTTGTAAACATATAAGCTATATATAGAAATAATAAATTCTTTACCCCGAAATTTTAATGTATTCACTCAACAGTAATAATTCATTGGGTTATGGCAATCAGCTTTGTTAATATTTGAACTGGTGTAATAAGTCGTCTCCTTCCCTCTTCATAACAAAAAAGGTATTATTAAAGAGAATATTTTCTATTCGACACGACTTACATCAAAGAAAAAGTGCATGTTTTGAACTCTTCTTCTTGACTTTATGAAGAGTCTACTGCTACCGCAATACTTACACAGTCTCTCAACCACAGGTTTTAAGCAGCCACTTTCTTAAAGGTCAAGAAAGATTCTTCCTCCCCTAATATCTCTAAAAATTTTTCATAAATCATAAAAGATTTAAAAATTTTTAAAAAAATTTTCAATGAATTTTCTAAAATATATATATATAAATTTGAGGCGTCTAACCAGTTATATTGGTATAATTGATCGCTGGGCGCTAATCGAAACAATACCTATAGTGAAAAACAAATATGGTTGTTTATCTTATATATTTAAAACCTTTAACTGGTTTAAATTATTTGAAAAAAAAATTCTGATGAAAGTTTAGTTTGTATGTTATAAAAAGGAGAAGTTAAAATAATTGTTTTAAAAACCGATAAATACTGTTTGTGTTAATTGTTAATATTATTAATCATTATAATAAATGATGTATATTTTAAAAAATCTATTCATGTTTTTTAATATATAAATATACCCAACACTTACTAGATGAAAAAAAATTATTTATACTTGAATTACTGTTTGTTAAATATATTCATATACTGTAATTGTCTTTTTCTTGCTTATAATATTCTTTTAGATTGTTATTTTCATTCATATCTTTAATTTGATAGATTAAAATTCTTTAAACAATTAAAATATTTCAAAGAATATTAACAAAAACATATTAAGTTTATTTTCAGATCTAAACACTAAGGTAAAAAATTTTATTTTAAACGCAAAATTCATATTTAAATGTTCTAAAAGTTTTAGAAGAAATTTATTCAATTAAAAACAAGAAACAATGTTAAAATAAAAGATAAAAATGAAAAAAATTGGTTTAATTATCAATCTAAAGTTATTAATTACTTTTTAATTCTTTCCAAATTTCATCTTCTTTTTTCTCATACTCATCCAATTTTTTTTCATCCAAACTATTTTTAAAAAAAATATTAAATAAATCATTATCTTTACACTTTAAATTATTTCTAACATCATCTGAATAAAAACACTCAATTGGAAATTTTAACTTTAAAGCATTTTTATTTTTAAAAAGACTTGACTTCTTTAAAATTTCATCTTCTTTTTTAAAATCCTCATCATTTTCTATAAATGTTATAAAAATATTACCAAGAGTATATATCAAGAGATCTATTTTCTTAAAAAGTTCTATTTTAATATCTATATATTGAATAAAATCTTTAGGTGTTACTGGACAAATAAAAACACCAATATTATTGAACTTCATTTCAAAAAATTTGATAAAATTATTAAAAACTACTTCTTTTGTTTCATTATCTATTGTAAATCTTTGGGATAAATCTTTTTTATATAACATTGAATAAAGAGTATTTGTTGTAAACATATAAGGATTAATCGATCGAATATTTATAATTTTAATAATATTAGACCTGTAAGTTGTTTGTTTTTTTAATTCTTTATCAATATCATAATTTTCACCATTTTCTTCTTCAATTCCACTATCTTCTCCAATCTCATTATCTTCTCCAATCTCATTATCTTCTCCAATCTCATTATCTTCTCCAATCTCATTATCTTCTCCAATCTCATTATCTTCTTCAATCTCATTATCTTCTTCAATCTCATTATCTTCTTCTTCAATTTCACCATTTTCGTTAGTTAAATCTATTAAATTATAAAAAAGAATTAATTGTTTAAAGGCAACTTTTTTAATTTCATTCTTACTAGATTCAAGATGAGTTAATAAAACACGAAGATTCTCTAAAAATTTCTTTTTAAAAACATCAATAAAATCTGAATATTTTTCATTTTCTAAAAGTGATAATTCCTTTTCAACCTCTTCAATCCTTTTATAAAATCTTTTAGAGCATTTAATTAATTCTTTGACTTTTAATTTTTCTGGATCGTAATTAAAATAGAACCACAATCCAAATACTGTAACTACAAATAATATTAAATAAACTCTAAATGTGAACCTTCTATCACAAACCCAGAATGATTTTTTCTTTTCTTGTTGTTTAAATTCCATTTTTAAGGGTAAAAACATTTTTATTTTTAATAACAAATTAATTAACTAAAAATTTAATGATATCAAATAAAAAGATTTAATTTATTGGTTTAAAATAAACTTTATTTCTTAATTTATTACCAGTTATATTCTAGTGATTTAAATAACATTTTAAAAAAATAACAAATCTAATTGGTAAATTAGATTATTAAAATAACAAAAAACAGATTATCATATTTTATTATTCTAAGTTAATAAAATCAATTTATTTGTTAATAACCCAAAATCATTTTAATTTTCTTTATATATCATAGCTTTTCAAATCATAAGATTAATTATTTAAAAACATTAATTTTATAATTAAAATAACAGATATAACAAATTAATTATAAT